CACTGCGAGCTTACCCCAGTAGGTCATTACTCTGCATGACTGCTTGGCCACGGGAGTTAATAAAACGAAGTAGTTTTAGTAAAACAACGCAAGTTTTAGATCAGCCAATGACAGAACGGTGGGGAAGCTTACTTTTACGTCGAGTGCAACTTCAGTTTAGGTTACACTTTGGATGGTTTTAGGAGCTAAAACAACGGGCAAAATATGTGAAAAGCACAATAACTGTAAGTTAACATCCATGCCAAATTGTGTTGTGACATTTCATGATAGATCCCACATACAAAAATCAAGATAATACTCCTTACTAAATTCTATATTTAAAATTGGTGCGGCCCGCACTACTGTATTTCTCCAAGCCCATAATTAGTGCGGATTGAGATACATGTATACATGTGCCGTTGGTCTGGTGACGAGGTTGAAAATTAGTGCCGTCGGCACTAATCACGGTCATCGGTGTAGGTATTTGCTAACTTAGAAATTCAATTTTAGACACGTGACTCAATTTACAGTTAAGATGATCTATGTTCAAGAACCAATCAAACGGCACAAAAATATCGTCTTCATGCCTATCCGGAAAGTGGAGAATGCATACCGTATTCCGTAATACGAGTTAGACAGACATTACGTCTTAGACACTCTCTAAAATTATTCTGTTAGCTCGAAACACAATACTTCCTCTGTTACTGTAGCTATTACTGTCACCATTGGAAAATCGACTTTTATGGTATTACCGACCCCATTTTAAAATTATTGGACGAAGAGGAAACAAATGTATTTCATTGGTTAAAATGTCCCTTCAAATATCATAGACCCGACTGTTGGACGTGGTAGCTGTTTGCCTCGAAGAGTAGCGATACATGACAGGACAGATTAGTAGGAAGATTGTCGGATAAAATTAGTTATCCGGAATAATGGAATACTCGTGATGTGCCATCATGAGAATTGACCAATTAACGTGTGGTGTAGACTGTACTCACGCATAATTTTTGTAAATTTATATTTGTAAAAATATTATTTATACAGGTATCGATTATATTTGTGGTAAAGTGTACGTGCAATAAACTGTATAATATAATAAATTGTACCGTAAACTTACACTCGTGCAATCACTTTCGGACAGAGGTAGTATTGTGTATTCAACACTAAATTGGACTGGGGAGGCGAATCGAATAGCCTAAACAAAGAGATCATGAATGTCTTAAGCCAATCACATCACTCCATTCCAGAGATTTTACCAGTCTCGTGCCCTGTCGCTTCGGATTGGGTAAAATCAGTCGGGGAAAACATGGAAAATACATTCGAAATCGCTTTGAAGTTTCGACTGCGAAGTCCAAAGTTCAGTGAAAAGCACATAAGAGGTACTGTGATCAGAAATGGCGTATTTTTAATCACTTTTAGTCCAGGTGATAAAATCAATCACCTGGGATAAGCCAATCAAACGTCAGTATCGTAGACTCTGATTGGCGCATCTCTTGTTTAATCCAATGTCGAATATGTATTGGCTAATATATAGTTGTACTTTCCTCCTCTTATGAGTACTTATTGGCTTAGGCCCAGGTGAGAGATTCTATCACGCAGAAAAAGCTCCCTCCATTAGGGCTAACTGCTTCCGGGGAATTCCTCTCTTAGCGTACTTTGTGCCCTTTCTCAGAAGCTACAGTAGTGAAGGCAGCTGGTTTCGGCGAATTTCCGTTTTATATTATCCTCTACTATTGTGCTTTCGAGTGAAATTTCGTGTTGTGGCGTGGTTTCTCGTTGGAATTTAAATCGATTTGATTGGCTACCTCCGATGAGCTCAAAATTATTACCCAATCAAAACCTTCTCAATGAAATTCAACCAATCAGATCGATTGTGGATCGGTTTGGTCAGCGCGATTCGATTGCACCCCCTCCCCAAATTTGTATCACATCGACAATAGTATCTGTCTACAACTATTGCTACTCCGGAGTACAAAAGTACTAACGTTACCGCGTACTTTACAGTTAAATAACGATACCAGACGTTCCTTTGGGGTATTCACTGTCAGCCGATTTAACTGGGTCATCAGATATTTATTGGCTTCGTCTTCTCCATTTGCTGCTCCAGCACGCTCCAGGAAAACTCCTCTCGGCGTAAGCAGCAGCTAGGATGGTTGCAAAGGTGAGAAACTTGGTTGGTTAGACCTGTCGTTGACGTCGATATGTAGATTCGGTACGAATTTCAGGACGTCGCCCAATCCAAATCTCGCACTAAACCAGATGTACTACGTAGTACTACATCTGGTAGTACCTGAACAATTCCCTCCTGCAACAGTACTATTAATAGTAGTACTGGTGTGACGTAATCTATTGTACCAAGAGCCCATGTGACCCCGGCGCTTAGTTGTTTTGAATTTACACTTGATTTGACTATGTGCCAGAAATAACTTGGTTTTGTATGCCACGAGGCCCAAATGATTACGTCACAACAGTACTACTGTTGCAGCGAGGGAATTGCTGTATTACTGTCAGTCACAACAGTGCAGCGAGGGAATTGCTGTATTACTGTCAGTAAAAAATGTACAGTCGATTCCAAATCCATAGTTGTTGTTGATCAAACTGGGTTCACCAAACCACCATCAACATTTTCAATTTTAGTCACTCGACATGAAGTCAACCGCGTTCTTAACTCCGATGGCCTTGATCATGGCCATGATGGTCCAAGATGCTTCTGCCCACGGCCGTCTGCTCGTGCCTCCGCACCGTGGCTACATCGGCAAACTTCCCCAATTCAGTGACATTGTTCCCGTCAACTTCGGCGACCACAGTCTCAACGCTGGTGGCATTGG